CATAGTGCTCACATGGCAATAACAGTAGACTGATCCCATGCTTGGGGGGAGAGTCTTAATAGAGCCCAAACAGTAGCATATACATGTGTAACAGAGAACTGTGATCCAGTGATACTGATGGATGGTTGTTGATTACCATTATTCAATGCCTGAGTTTGAGCCAAATCTACAAATTCTGTCCACCAGACAGAGTATTGTCCTCCTGTTAAAATTGTCTTAAAAAGAGATTGCCAATCCAGTGGTAACATAATATGTCCTTCTGCAATTGCATCCAATAAATTTGTAGTAAAGGAGGAGTGTAAGCCATTTTCTTTCACCAATCTGCACAGTTCATTACCATCTCATATGATAAGCTGTTCATTATGCGGGTTTTGATTATGATATACAACAGGCATTGCTTGAAAGAATTTAATATCGCCCTCCTCCAAAGCTTGCTCTAGCATTTCTGTATAAACCTTTCTGGTTCAGGTCCTATAGGTGGTATTGTTTCCTCTTTATAGTCACTAGAGGAATAGAACAAGGTATAAGACAGTGATAGAATATGTGAAATACTTGCTGCAACCTTTTTGCATGCTATTTATAGTATTTCTTCTGCACTAGCGGCTGCTGCAGCCACAGCACATACTGGGGCTAAAGTACGATATAAATCTCGTTCTTGTCCACAATCAATAGGACCAGGATCAAACAAATCCTTTTTCTCCATGTCATTATCCTCAGGTGATGTTTCATTAATAAAAACAACAGAATCTGATGGCGGAGCATCCCCAAGGGCATGATCTGCTTCCTTAAATTGTTGCAGAGCCGAGTATACCACACACCAAGTAATAACATCATCAGGGTGGACATTGTGACAAGAAATTTGGTGGGCTGGTAAACACTCACCAACCTTTTGCCAGTGAGTAAGGTCATAGGAAGCATCTGATGGATACCAGGGAAAAAATTGTTTGACCCTTTTAAGTAACTGGATGAGGCTTTGGGGCTGGAATTTATAACTCTGTTCCCTGGTGATGTGCAACAGTCAGTCTTTATGCCATTTTTGGGATTTCATTGCACCTCGCCCCATTATAAGAAATGCTGCCCAGCTATTCACAAAAGTCTAACTTGTTCTATAGCCAGCGATGAAAGGAGCTCCTTTGTGATCAGCTGAACACACACATGCTTGATTCAGCCAGGTTACACCACTGGACTGGATCACAACAGTAGCACTGAAGTCCCTGTAAATCGGGAGCCATTTGTTGGTGTATGAATGAGAGACTCACAAGCTGAGAGCAAAATGAAACTGTTCATTGCAGAGTTAAGACAGTACTTAGTATGAGAATCTGTTCATTCCTTTGCAAGCAACAGGGCTGCAGGAGCCTTGTTGTAATAAATCCATCAGCCTGACAGTTTGTTAGTTTTCTCAAAGTTTGCAAGTTTTGAAGAAATGGGATGCCTTTCCTGTTCTCAGATAGTGCGTAATCTACTTTCTTCCATGCTTCCCAGGAATCTTCTGCACTGTCAGGCTTGCTCCTTCCTCACACTTACCTGCCTACCTTTTTGTTTCCTTCTAGTATTTCCATTCCTGTTTTAAGAGTAACGGCTCTATACCTTTACCTTTACACAGTATGTGTTTGGCTCAGGTGTTGGTGAATGAGACATCATGAGATGTAGGAGGTTCCCCATGTAGGGATTGTTATTCTTGGGGTTTTCACACTACATCTTCCCTGACTTTGTGCTGTCTCCCCACTAAACAATGTCTTAGTACAGTTGGGGTCCCTTTCAAAAAAGGTCTTAATACATTAAGAATCATTTCTACAGAGGTTGGGATCTTTTCATCTGCGTGTTTGTGTTTTGTTGATAAGCAGTGGGTTTTTGTAGCAGCAGCAGAGATATTCTTAGCTGACAGCATAGGGGTCAAGGTAGGTTCCCCTTTTTCTAGAATTTATATTCCTCCTGCTCAATGTAGCAACAATTCTGCTGGTTGTTGAATGGGTTTTGTCAGGAGAGTCTGGCCTGTGGTGCAGAAGGACAGATACATCCCAGAATCCAAAACTTTCCACACCCTCTGTATTGGTTCTGACCAAGGTAAAGTCCACAGCCCTTTCAGTGCTGTGCTTTGCATTGGTACCTAGGTGGGTGTTGAGACAGACCAGTGTTTTGGCTACTGCCTAGCAGTGCTGTCCCTCTGACATTCCTTCCCCCATCAAAGGGGATGGGAGTGGGCAAGATTCTGGGAAGGGACACAGCCAAGCCACCTGACCTAAACTGGCCAAAGGCATATTCCATACCTTGTGACCTCAGAAAGCTAAGCTAAGGGAGAGAGGAGGAAACGGGGGCATTTGTGAATTTTCAGTGTTTGCCTTCTGGAGGAACCATTACATGTGCTGAAGCCCTTCTTTCCAGAAAATGTCCAAACGTCACTGCTGATGGAAAGTAAAGACGGACATTTTTTGTCTTTAGCCCATGCACACACAGATCTCTGTTTATTTCTTTCTCTTACTGCAATAAAATTGCCTTATCTCGCCCTGGTGGTTGTACTCCATCTTATCCTCTTCCCTTTCCCAGTGGGAAAGAGAGTGATAGAGCAACAGAGTGGGCACCTGGCACCCAGCCAGGGTCGACCACTACAGTCATTTTGGCACCTGAATGTGGGACGATATAAAGTTGGTGAAATGGACTATAGCAGGAACCTCAGGGCGCTGGGCTGGAACAGCAGAGGAGTGCAAGCCCGGGGTGGCAAACAAAGTTTAGCAATAACCCCAAAGCTGTGATAGGAGCAGCATGGGGCTGGGTGGACCCAGGGGTATCGAGCTAAAAGGGTACTAAAAATCCAGAACAGTGGCAGAAACAGTGAGGACTGGGCAGCCTGGAAGGGCAGATAAGGTTTGGGGGGGATTGTTTCAGGTTTCTCCTGGCTGTCGCCTGTGTAATGCCCTGGCAAAGCAGCAGCTGCCAGGCTCCCGCAAGCACCCATGAGAGGCTCCCTTTCAGAGGGTGTCAGGGTCCCCGTTTTCCCCTAAGACACCCAAGCAGATGTTAAGGATACCTTCCAGAGTGATTGCGTATTGAAAAGACCCACTTATACAGCCACACTTGTGAGCAGAGGCTCACCCACAGTAAAGAGACACAGAGATGGAAAAGCTATGCAGTAGCAGTGAATCCTCTGGGCAGCAGCAGCAGTCCAACACCAAAACCTCAACCATTTGCCACTCGAGCCGCATCCCCTAGCTAAGAGACAGCCACAACCGCACCACCTCTCCTAAGCATGACTCCCAAATGCTCCTTTCCCTTGGCTGACTCCAAGGTGGGATGTAAGAGGTCTCAGCCACATCTTTTGTTTCTTCATGACCTGTATTTGTCCCCCAGAGAACCACTCCCTTCACAGGCTCTTCCCTTCAGATGGGAAATAATTCCCTACAGAATCCAAACCAAAAGAAGGGTCTCTGCTGTACTGAGACAAAATTAAACACTAAAAAGCAGCTAAAATATAGAATCAAAAAAATAATTTCTTAGCTCATAATAAAGACACAGCTCCTTATCAAATTCAGGGATCACTAAATTTCTAGTTAAATACAATCTAACTCTTTTTCAACGTGTAAACAAAAGAGCCAGTCCTGTCCTGCAAGGTTCCAGCAGTGCCTCACAGCAGTCCTGCATTCACGTCAGGATGTTGACCAACGTAGGGCTTGCAAACTAAGGCAGCTTCCAGCAAACTAAGGCAGTATTGAAAGATCAAGTGCTCCCTCAGGATATAGCAATCCTGAACAATCACCCCAGAGCTACCTGATGACTCCCACTCCTTGTGGCACCAGTTGCTTTCCTGTGGAATGTTCTACCTGCTCTGAGAGTAAAGAGAGATGTGGAGAAATAGCTTGCCAGGCTGCTCTCAATCCCTTACCAGCAATCCTGGTTATGTGGAGAAGTCCGAGCAGAGTGCAAATGTGCAAACATAACAGCCATGCATAGGAAGGGTCGGCAGGAAGGATGATCCAGGATCTACTGGCCTGGAAGCCTGAGCTTGCTACTGGAAAAGGCTTTGGAACAGATCCTCCTGAGTGCTATTCCACAGCATGTGCAGGGAACCAAGGGGTCTGCTGGAGGATGGGAAAGCTCTGTGGAGGGATGGGGATAGCTGGGGCTCCTGGCAGGATGCTGAGGGATTCTGTGTGTGTGTTTTGGGGGCATTGGTGTTGGCGGGCATGTTGGGGAAGGAGTTGTCTGGAAGTGAGAGGTCTAGGCTGGAATTTGAGTCAGTTTGATAGCAATATCTGTGGTTAGGTACAGCTTTGGTTAGGGAGGACAGAAGGAATATCTGTGACTTTACCTTTTAGTAGTCCTAATTCTCCTGCAGGGAAGAAGAGGGGAGAGCTGTACTTTGTTGGCCACTTAGATATCTGTACCAGGGGGAGGATTAGCCTTTTTTCAACCTACTCATTTGTTTGGGCTACTTTTGTAACACTGAGTGGACTTTCATTCCTTGAGAACTTTTATTCCTTAAGAGAATTAGGATATTATCATCCCTTCATAGAAAATCACTTGCAATCCAAAGAATGGCTGTTTTTCACTCTCTGTGTAGTGTTATGATTTGTAAAGTGACTCTCAATTGATGACGTTAATGAAATGGGTTGCTGCTTTGAGATGGGAAGCAAACTTCCAAATCTTTCATATTTTCCTGCCATTCTAGTTAATTTATGAAGTCTGAAACTTTTTGGAACTACTTGAGCTGAACACCAGGGAAGTAAAGCTATCCTGAATTGAGGATTCTTAAATGCCCTGAGCCTGCAGAGCAGGGCAGCATTTGCTGATGGTTTGACCCATTCCTAAAGATCCTGTCAGGCTGTCTTAAACACTTGTGGCAAAGAATTCCTTCCAACCTGGGCCACTTCAGGTAGGCTGTGGGTGGCCCCAGGGCACCAGATGGCAGTGGGTGCAAGGGCCCTTTGTGACACAGTGCAGCATGGTCACCCTGGGATGGAATGGGACAGGGAAACAAAGGTCACATGGTGACATAGGAGCTGGCGGTGACAGGGCCACACCACAGTGTTCAGAGCACACAACAGGACAGGACACACCAGAGCTGTGCTGTGAGGAGCCCCCACACAGCGCACTCATTCGTGCCTGACCCAGAGCTTTTTGAGGCATTACTCCTGCAGCTGACCTCGCGGCCAGACTGCGGGATTTTGTGACTCAGACCTTTCCCAAAGCATCTTCTATGCCTGCGGCCTGTGCCCTTCCAGGCTAGACTGTGGGATTTAGTGACCTGAATAATTTACATGGAATCTCCTGTCATTGTGTCAGGAGCTCTCAAAACCAGAGAGTGAGATTTGGTCACCTGAATCATTTACGACCAGTCATTGGTCTCCTGACATTGTGGCAGGAGCCATCAAGACCAGAGAGCAGGACTTGCTGACCTGCAGCCTTCCTGAGGCTTCTCTGTCACAGGTGCCCTCCAGGCACAACTGCACAACTTGTTGCCTCAGAGCATTCCTGAGTCATCTCTCTCTAGAAGGTGCCCTCGAGGCCAGACTGCAGCATGGCGGGCAGGTTCCTCAGCCTGTTCAGGAAGAAAAAAACTGAAGGCCCTGGAACTGCCCCAGCACAACAGCCTGAGGAGCCAGAGCAGTTCCAGACATGTCAGGATGGTGAGTGGCAGAGCTGTTGCACTATATTGGGAATGGTGAAAGTAACAACACGGACTCGCTTGTGGATTGTACAGGAGAGCAAGATTTATTACTCGGGATCTTCTTTTATAGACAAGTCCAAGAAGGTCTGGAAAGGTAAAACTCTGGGTCAGTAAACTAACACATCACCATCATTGGTCAGTTGTGTACACCATCCCTCAACCTTCTCTTGCAAGAAAACAAGAAATTGACAAACAACACCTGCAAGGCTGTCTTCTGTCTCTAAGGATTATTTGGATTCCTCCTTATGATTTCCCAGGCGACATCTCAGGACAGTCTGAGAAAGTTATGACTTGAAAGTCATCACTTGAAACCAAGAAAGTGACTTGGTTTTCCACAGACACTGTGCTCCCTGCTTGCTTCTTGCATTTAGCATCCACAGCAGAGCTGGGCCACAGGACTGATGGCTGCAGCTGGCTTGGCCCCGCCCCACCCCATCCCATCCCATCCC